AGTGTCCAACTTCTAATATCCAACCAATTCACCTCTAGTCACCACACCACTGTTAAGTGTGTGTGTGTTCATCCCTGTTTCAATCTTATAAGTTTAATTTCAAATTCTGGAAAGGGGTAAAAGGAGAAACTGAATCAGAGCCCATAACAAGTTCTATTAAAGCATGTTTATTGCAGACACTCAAGGTGAGAGGTGTACATTGCTGTACACAAGAAAAAGTTATCAAGTTGGCTTACCCTATGTTATTTCATCTGGATAACAGCTTGCTAATGCAGTCACATAGAGAGGAGAAATGGAATTTCTTCATTCTGATGCAAGTTTTTATCTCTTTGGTGGTTGATGTTTTGGTGTGGCCCGTACTGAGATCAAGACAGTTCCATCATCAGCTTGCTTAGCAGTGAGCAAAATGAAGTATTCTTTCAAAGACAGTCACTATAACTCAGGTGACAGACACAGTGCCCATAGGCTAGAAAAGGTAAGTAAACCTACAGTTCCTCAATTCAAGTCAAGAAAACACCAATATCCACCAATATTTGCTATGTGCATTGCATGATACAACCAGCTGTAATAGATTCAAAAAAGTGTAACACAGTATACCTACCCCCAAGGGACTCACAACATCCCTGAGAATATGACACCCCTGGCAAGCTCAATAGCAATAAAGAATTCAGCCAAGACCCCAAGACGATATGTTCTAGGGCCTTCTGATAATTGCAAATGAATTATTTGACAAATAGACACATCGCACTAGTATGATCCAGGTTAGATCACTGGGGGCTTCTTACTGAAGTGACAGTAAAGCAGTGAGGAAAACAAGCATAAAATTTGCCTTCTTCTCTGAAGAAGAAAAGTAGAAAATGTTGCCCTCCTGTCCAATGTGGAAAAAAGAGTTGTAAGTGCGAGACCCGTCTTGATAAAAATTCTGACATGGCCCCGGGGTGGCTCAGTCTGTTAAGCATCTGCCTTCGGCTCAGGTCATGATCTCAGGGTCCTGGGATTGAGCCCCATATTGGGCTCCCTGCTCAGCAAGGAGTCTGCTTCTCCCTCTCCCTCTGACCCTCCTCCCTGCTTGTGCTCTCTCTGTCTCAAATAAATAAAATACTAAAAAAAAACCCTGACATAGATGAAAGACAAGATGTCTTCTTGAAACTCCCAAGTCCAGTCTCTGCTCACCTACTTCTCCACACCTGCTTGCATAGCACCTTCCTGCTGCCCCCATCTTCCCAAAGCCCCAGCTGCGGCAGCTCTCCCTGAGCTCATCTCCCCGGAGAATGTCCTTCAGGAGTATTCCTTGTTGCGGCCCCCTCCCTATGCTAGTCCTCCTTCTTCTCCATTCTTTCTCCATAACCTGTTCCCTTGCAAAAGTGTTTTTAGCCAGCCACCAGGAAATAGAGAAATCTGATAAATTCACCGTTCAATTTTGGAGAATAATAGTGATTTATAGCCAACCCGTGAAAATATTTTTGTCCTTTAAAAGAGGACACTCAGAGATCACAACCCCCAAGATGAATTTCTAGGAGTTGTGACATCGAATGGGAATGGGAGCGAGGGTGGTGGGAAATGAGGAGGGCATGGACCGGGACAAGAGGAGCTTCTGAACACCGTGCGTGAATCTGTGTGTGAATTCCAGCCCTTATCCCGTATGTTACATTTTACATTTGGGAGGCATGACTCAATTTTTAAAAATATACTTCTAAATCCATTCAGGAAGTATGTACTGGTCCTGCTAGGACAATACCTACAAGAGTCATGTCCTCAATAAATATGTATTATGTTGGTGATGAGGGTCTTAGACCAGACCACTCAAAATACTAGGTTATCGAATTGACAGCCCTATTCTTTGAACAGCAAAATGTTCCATACCTAATTTAGACAGTAAAATATCAGGTGATAAATTTCAAGGATATTATGGAAACCAGCCTGCCATCTTATCATTGCACAGAAATGTGAGAAAATACAGAAAGTTTGAGTAACAAACTATTCAAATGGATAGACAGTAATAGAACTTTATACCTACAGAGAACATATGTTCTTTTGAAATAATATGAAAGTGATAAAAATTGACCACATTCTAGGCCAAAAAGGAGGCCCCAATAAATTAAAAAAAAAATCAACATTTACAAACCATGTTCTCTGACCACCAAGCAATAAAATTTAACCTTGATAATGAGGATAGGTTTTTTCAAATCCCATAAGGCTGGGAGGGGGGGAAAACTTTTACTAAGTAATCCTTGGAAAGCATATGAAAAGTTATGAAAGATTTGGAATGCAGCAAAATGAAGACTTTATTTATTTGTTTATTTATTGTTGAAGATTTTATTTATTCGTTAGAGAGAGAGAAAGAGAATGAGCAGGGGGAGAGGCAGGGGCAGAGGGAGAAGCAGGCTCCCCACTGAGCCAGGAGCCCGCCATGGGGCTCGATCCCAGGACCCTGGGACCATGACCTGAGCCAAAGGTGGATGTTTAGCCATCTGAGCCACACAGGCACACCAAAACGAACACTTTATATAGCAAAATCTGTGGAGGCATAGTACTAGGTGGAAAATTTTAGCTTAAAATACTTTTATCAGAAATCAAGAAAAATTGAAAACAAATGAGCTAATAAAGCATGTTCAAATCAAGAACTTGAAAAAGGTACAACAGAAACAACCCAAAGAAATAAGAAGGAAAAAGACAAGGAGGGAAATCAATTACAAAGAGAATGAAAAAACAACAGTAAAAAAAGGGGCGTGGGCATCTGGGTGGCTCAGTAAGCATCAGCCTTTGGCTCAGGTCATGATCCCAGGGTGCTGGGATCGAGCCCCACCACTGGGCTCCCTGCTCCACAGGAAGCCTGCTTCTCCCTCTCCCACTCCCCCTGCTTGTGTTCCCTCTCTCACTGTGTCTCTCCGTCAAATTAATAAATAAAGTCTTTAAAAAAAAACAGTAATGGGGCGCCTGGGTGGCTCAGTTGGTTGAGCGACTGCCTTCGGCTCAGGTCATGATCCTGGAGGGCCGGGATCGAGTCCCGCATCGGGCTCCCTGCTCGGCGGGGAGTCTGCTTCTCCCTCTGGCCCTCTTCTCTCTCGTGCTCTCTCTCTCTCATTCTCTCCCTCTCAAATAAATAAATAAAAATCTTAATAAATAAATAAATAAATAAATAAATAAATAAATAAAAACAGTAACAACAACTAAAGAATATCCAGACACCAAAAGCTGTTTGTTCTTTTTTTTTTAGGTTAAGTAAACAAACCTGTGGCAGGATTTTAAGCAATGAAAATATTAAAAACTATTCTCAAAAACTTTCAAAACAAAAAGAAACATACATTTTTGGAAAAGGGCAAAAATACCAAAATTGGCACAAAAGGCACAAGAAAATTTGAATAGAACAACAATCATTAAATAAAATGACGTGATAGTCAAATTTTTCCCAAAGTACAAATGATTTTCCAGGTAAACGCTAGCAATCTTTTAGGAAACAGATAATCTCGATCTTACTCAGTTTGCTTCATAAAACAAGAGAGAAGGAAAGCATCCTAACATCTTGTTATGAGGCAATAGAACTTAAAAACAAAACTAGCTAAGGATAACACAAAGGAAGAAAATGCTGGGCTTATTTCACTTAT